GGGGGGGGGGGGGGGGGGGGGGGGCTCGGAATGTATTGATTGCATTTTCATTCCACGTATGTAATATTAGGTAGATTAAAGAGTCACATCATTCCATAATTTTCTATTTCCTTAATATGGACCACGAGGTACCTATTTAGCACGTATGTAGGTTCCAATAAGAATATGTCAAAATTATATGAAACATATGAAAACATTATTACAAAACATACGAAACATGAAATCATAAGAGTAACGCATAACGCGTGAGGCGCGTCGAAAGGTTGGACCGCGCAGCGGAGACACCCCCCCCCCCCCCCNTAGTTATCTTGGAAAAGAACAAGTATTGTAGGGTCAAAGAGCGAATTCTATACTGGGAAGCTGTCCCTGCAGAATTCTAAAAAACATGGCTTGTCCGTATTATTTCAAGAGTGGACTTCTAACGGTTTTTACCGCTTACTATTTAATTGCCGAAAAATGAATTACCCTCACTGACTTTTTGTACCTCTTTGTAAGTAAATGCCATATAATAAAGCTTCCGAATCCAATACTTGAAAATAATCAGTACCTTTTTTTTCCCGGGGTTTTCAAATATTTTAAGTACATTTTTATAACTGAAAGCGTGAGTGATTTGTTTGGGGACTGGGAAAAAATATATTTTATTGATTTTATATTTGTATTTATTTTGCAAGGGATCTAGCGACCGGGAAAACCTAGAAAACCGGAAAATGCCTGGAAATTGTTGTTTGTGTCAGGGAATTCAGGGAAAGCGTCAGGGAATCCGCAAAAATTTGGCATGGCAGGAAATTTTATTTTGCAAGTGATTTTCGTGTCAGGGAAATCGAAAAACACTAATTTTTCGGTAAATGTTTCGCGAATATTTCTCTCACGGAGATTCCTACAAAAATTTCTACTAGAATGTCGGCTATTTTCTTTTTAAGTTTTAAAAATTAGGCAAAAATATCTCGCATAAGTTCAGGTACCAAATATTTGTCCGTATTTATTACATTAATATTCCTAAAACATGAAAAAAATCTTACTTACACATAACCGTGTCATAAAATTAGGAACATTTTTCCTTTTTGTCAGGAAAATGTGAGAGAATTATTTTTTCCATCTGTCAGGGGATCTGAAATTTTTCCTCGGGTTTTTTGCCGTTTTTGTCAGGGAAATGTGAGGAAATTTCTTTTTAAAAATTGCTAGGCATCCTATTTTGTATTTATATTATTCTTTTTATTTTGAAATCTATCAATTAAATTCGGGACATCGAAATCATCTCACCTGGACTTCTGCGAGTCGTCACCGGATCGGTCCAAATTCGGGAGCAGTTTTGCCGGCGATAAAAGTCAACGCGTGCGGGCACAGAGCCTCTCGAATCTATCCGAAAATCTCGCAGAGCGGCTCAACTTTAAATCCCCCCGTGTGATGTCTTCCCGTTAGCCCTCTTCCGATCCCAAGGTCTCTATCAATGTCGTCCATCTCATCGCGTCACGCTCGTGTCATCGGAGAGAAAATGTCGGTTCATAAACCGCGACTTCCCACCCACACTTTCAATGTACCCATCTTCGGTACCGTCCAATCTCGTCGCCTAACAAGCCCTAAACTTGAGGAACTTCCAACTACACGGGTTCGCCCCGAGGCTCTCCCTACATTTTCGACTCGATGACAGGTGATGTAGTCGCCGCAACAAGGAATTTTCGCCCGACAAAAGATTTTCCACTCCGAGGGGGTCTCGATCTGCTGAACGTCGACATAACGGCCTCAAGACAAGATATGAATTAAAATTCGACGCAAGATGTTTTCTGCCGTGTTAAGGAGGAACGCCGTATGAGCCTTCAGGCGTTGCCAAGTTTCCTCCGATAAAAACCGAAATTACTGGGAAAATTGTGATTATTATATTCAAAAATGTTCAAACGATTTCATACGCAATTTGATCTAAAATATCTGAAAATTTCAAGGAAAAATATGCGTGAATGTTGTCAAAAATACATGTTTTATCAAGGGAAATTTGGCAACTCTCGTGTGTTCATACGGCGTTTTTCCTCAGCACGGCAGTTTTCACGACGAAAACGAATCGCACAACGGGAAGTCTGAAAATCACCTCCTGAACAACCTGTGAGTATTTACAACTAGCGTCGACTGAATGGCAAAAATACAAGTGACGTCATTTGTATACTGTAACTTCCATTTGATCTTTTTTCAAAATATTCCCCAATATGGACCATATTTTGCAATAAGGAACTACAATCTCCGCCTCATTTTAGAAACAACATATCGACGTTCCCCGGATGAAGGGGCATAACTCCATTCCGAGGTTGTAAAACTGGCTTAAAAATTCAATTTTTTACTCTAATTTACATGTGTAATTTGTGTCTAAAATTTTTCTGATTTTTGCACGAAATCGGAAAAAAAAATCCTCGAAAATTTCAGTTAAAAATACCCGAGATTCTATTGCTTTAAAAGTAATATGCGAGGGGAATTTAAGCAACAATGAAATGTACTTACGTCCTTTCGCGGGGAGAACGACGATACGTGTCATTAGTTTCCCTATGCAGATAGGTGTTTTTATCTATGAACCAGAAATTGTGGTTCTTCCTTCCAATATGCAGTCCATATCTCGTTCCGGAGTTGATTTTCGAAATTCTCATTGTATGATTCATTTCTACGTAAGATTTTGAGGAGAATTCATCTGACGATACTTTCTTCTGCAGACCCTGATGTCTACTGGTCTGTTATTGAAATGATCGTTCTCTGAAGCGTGTTCATTCTACATCCCAATCTTTTTATACCTGAGTGGCACTAGTTTCGTTAATATTTTCATCGTAGCCATTAAAGTTGAAGAGACGTCTATATTATGGACCACTTAACAGAATGAAGAATGAAGCACCACTGCATTTTGCAATTTGGACCTATAAATTCTGGCTCATCTGAAAAAACACTTATGTGCATAGGGAAATTAATGGCACATACGTTGTTTTTAAACCGGGCCGGAATTTATAGTTCGTAATTGCAAAATGTAGTCCATTTGTTCCCTTATCAAAATTTAATGTAGAACGCGGTGGAGACATCAAACATATCCAAATCAACTCTTAGGCGAATACTAATCACTGACCAGAAGCTAACAAACATTGAGGTTTCAAGCAATTTTTTTTTTTTTTTTTTTTTTTTTTTTTTTTTTTTTTAATTAATGGTTTTCCTTTAAATTTTTGGCAATACACGGATTGATTACCCACGCCTAGAGATACATTTCAGCTGTTTCTTCCTGACGAATCTATTTTGTAAACCTTAAAACAAAGCTGGAAGTATGCTGACGCGAAATCTTGCATTCGACCAGTCGGATCAAACGGTTTACCTCTCTGGCGAAGGTTTTATTTATTTTTTATTTTATTTTATTTATTTATTTTTTTTTTTTTTGAAACCGCACCTTTTAACCGACGGTTCCAGAACGTCTTCTTTTCATTCATGAGTTGCTGTACAAAAATTTTAACTGTGTTATCAATGAAGTCCATCCGAGAAAACGAATTCCAAGTTCTGACCCTTACTATACTTCTCTATCACTGTTGAGTTTCTCAAATTCATGTTCTTGCGTTAAATTTGTCCCTTTTTATTAAATTAAAGAATCAACAATGTGGCTTAATGAGCAAGTCTTCCTTTCGAAACACCGTTCACTCATAATAACTTGATTTTAATCTTGTATGCGCCAGAGAGGAATAAATTATCACTATATCATTGAAAAAGAAAAAAGCATAATCTAAAAGCATCACCAGCTTTGTAAGCTTGTATCTCTTCATCCAATGCTAATCGATGAATCGAATGCCGTTCACGATAGAAGCAGCAAGGGATATGAGACGTCAAAAAGCAGTTTTTCAATATGTTGTTTATTACCTCAGAGTTATTTTTCCGGGCGACAAGTAGCACTTTCGCGGATCGGTCGTAAGGAACGCCGGAACGTTAACGGGGCCAAGCCTGCGTTAGCGATAAAACTGCGCGATATACACCTAGACTAGAAGTTGTGTCTTTTTAATGATGTGCCGGCCAACTTCTCATGGAAAATATTGCTTCTCTGCAACGAGTTCTATAAATAATCGTGTGCTCTTCAATTTTTATCAACTTACGGGTTTAATTAGGTGTGCACTCACAACTGAATAGATTCTATGCTCTTTTTCCGTCCAACCCCGCCTCTCCCTTCCCCGAGCACATATATCTCTCTCCTACTCGTGAGCCTCGATTTCTTTCTTGGATTTCGCATCCCCCACCCCGCGGAAATCTTTTGCTTCGGCGTATTAACTAAATTTGTCCCTCGAGCTAATGAAGTTAACTCCAATTGGCTCCGGAGGTCATCTGTGCCCCGCTTCTTTTTAGATTCATTTGAATCACATCCGAATCGATGTCTTCTGGTTTGAACAATTAATTATTCGGGCTCATTACACGCTTACATTGTATGTAAATGGGCTGGATGATTATTTCACCAAGTTCGCTTGGTTTTCTCCCATTCGCTGACACCATTTCGGATTCCGAAGTTAATTTTTGGCAGTAGGAAAACCGGAGAAGAAGAGAATCGAGCAAAGAGAGCACCGTCGGTTTTTTTCCCCTCTTCTTCTTTTTTAGCAACGCACGTAAGCAGGGTGTCTAGCATCAGGATCTCCCGATTTTATCAGGATTTAATCCCTATTTCATCAGGATTTGAGGAAAAGTCGGTCGTAAAATCAGGATTTGAGAAAAATCGGCCGTCCGCTTATTTTCGGTAAATTTTCCGTTTTCCGTCCGTTAATTTTTCTCCGCAAAAAATCGGAATTTGATCAGGATTCGGAAAAAATCATGAAATCAGGATTTAGCAGTCAAAAATCAGGAAAAATCAGGATTGCCCATCTTGAAAAAAAACTAGACTCCCTGGTAAGGTCTATTGAAGATAATAACGCGCTGTAAAAAAATTAAGTATAATAAATAAACAGAGAAAAAACATGAATGAGTACTAATTGACGAATCCAATTCAAGACAACTTTTGGTTTGACAGGGCTTCACATATTTGTATGGAAGAATAGTTTGACAAAAGTTTAACATGCATGTCGAGAAGGGAGTTTTTACTGAGTCCGTATTACTTCAACGCTATGATGTACCTTCTCAGTAATAATTTTGAGACCCGTGTACACTGAAAAAAAAAGTTCGGTATTCCATATCTCCCCAACTATTTTAGCTTGTCAACCCAATTTTTCGGTTCGTCAAATCTAACTCGACGGTAAAATGAACTGACGAACTAAGTCCGGTCGTATGCACCGAGTTCGGTTACGCGAACCGAAAGTTCAGTTTGGCAAGCCGAATACTTGGGATGATATGGAACACTGAACGTTTGTTTCACATGACCAAACTTTTTTTTTCAGTGTAAGTGGAAAAAATCTGCTAGGGGAAAAAATGCTGAAAAAGCAAAGTCTATGTGAAAGCTGAACCTGTTTCTCCAAAACGAGGCAAGAAATAAAAATGAAGCACTCTCATGCAAGCCATTGCGTGCAGGGTCTTAAGCAGTCAGTGGATAAATAGAAACAGGAAAAAGAACTACCCTTCACTACTGAATTTCCCAACTTCCAAAAAGTAATCTATTCCGTAGAACATAAACCACTGTCAAGTCGCATCTTTTCGCGCAGGTGCTCTAAAATTCTACCCAAAATCGTGGAGTCTGATCAGCCTGGATGACGAGTGGCAAAACTTGCCTAAGGAATGAGGTTAAATGTCAGAAATGTCCCACAAATCTTCCAAAATTTAGAAAGCTTTCCACTTAAAAATGTCCAACTCTTATAATTCTTTTTCTCCACTTTCTTTCACTCAACGCAGTGCAAGTCTTGCACAATCTTGGCAAAATACAATGATCGATCTAGTTGCAAAATGAATTTTTTCATCTTATTAATGATTATCGGTTTTCAGTGAGTGGAATAGGGCGACAAATTCCTGAAAAGTCAGGAAAAACGTGGAAAAGTCAGAAATGTAATGAGGAATGGAAATTTTATTTGACTGTTGATGCTTGATCTTTACGCTACAATTTTAAGTTTTCCCTAATTCCCTCCTAACTGTCAAAATTAATTTTTGTTATCCATTACTGTCCAAAATAAATCCTTAAAAAAATAAACAAATAAATAAATAAAGCGCTTGAGAAAGGAAATTTATAAATCGGAAAATTCTTTTTCTGTGGTCGTTTTCTTAACCACCGTCTCAGTAAGAGTGGGGTCATAAAGAGCCGTTTTGCCCCCTAATTCTGAAAATTCCACATTTTCTGCTTCGAAGGCTGTAGCGTTAAAAATTTCTTGTAAATTGTCATTCGCTCTCTTTAAAAAGTCAGAGGAAAGTTGGGAAACTTTTACTTTAAATAACCTCGACCAATCAGGAGATATTGAAATCTAAGGAATGTTGTCGCCGTGCTTTACAAATGACCGGATTTTTAACGGGAGCGATATTAATGCGATCAAGTTTGCCTCATTCCCGTTTTTCGTCCTCGTTAAAATTAGCCTGATGGTCTAGGTTGGAAACTCGGTGGAGGTGGACAGTTGAGCGATCATAGAGAGAGCCTTCAAAATGAGGTGCGGCGTTAAGGCCGAGAATGTTGGGAGCACGGCCTACGGCGCACAGTGGATCGAGTCAATAGGAGAGGTCGGACAAAATTTGGAACCTTTAAACGCCTCGTTACTCCGTTTATACAAACTTTGAGGTTCTAAAAGTGGTTCCGTTGGTTTCCTCGTAAAATTTTCTTGCAGGAGCACTTTTTAAAATTTAAAGTATGACGAAATAAACATCAAACTTTGCAGTTTTAGTCAAAAATTTCATGTCCAACCCCTCTAATTGATTCGATCTACTGTGCGGCGAAAGCAGTCGTGGGCGTTTTGCATCATAATAGCTGCGACCCGCACTTGACCAGAGCAAGTGCAGTTTATTAATAATTTTCCACTCTTTGTAATATTTGACGGCCATTCGGCATGTTGCTCCAGTGGCATCTTCCATAAGAAGTTTCCTGCCCTTATGCAGATCTCCTCCTAACCGCAGTTTTGCAAGTCGGGGAGACCCGAGGCGGTGGCAGCAGTTTTTTCTAAAATTTGCTGCCATGAAAGTAAAAAATCAACTTGATATCTGAAAATTTGCAAACGTTTGGTCCTGAGGGTCTAGTATGAAAACCCGAGACAACCTTTTCATTCACTCGAAATTTCTACATTTTATATAAAATTTAAAATATCAGGATTTTTGATACACTACCCCGGGCCCGTAGTCGATTAATGAACCAGTTGACACGTTGCGCATTAAAGCATTCTAACACGTATCCTCCGGCCAAAATTTCACGTAGAACACAACTCGCGAAACATATATTACTGAAATCAATTTCCAACTAAGATAACAACGCTCTTATAGTTAACATTAGTCACTGTAACATTGGGAGTTTTGAGTTCCCCGCTCACGAGAAAAACAAAAATCTACTTGAATCAAATCGTGCACTACAAAGGTTTTGGCAGCCTCCTTAATCGAGCAATGTTCCCTCCCCGCCTCGTGTTGTTCAAAGTGTTACAGCGTGCACCATCTGAGCCGAAGCACCGAGACTGAGCCTGCCATATTTTCATACCGCAGAAACTGTTACGGTAACGTTTAGTGCGCAGTTTGATTCACGTAGACTTTTGTTTTTCCATGGGCGGGAGGTTCGATCAAAATTCGTCAAATATCTTTGATATGTGTTAATGTCAGTAGTAATTTTTGCTGAGCAAATCATATCCTACGAGAAATTCTGATCAAGAAATATGTAGCAGAATGCTTAAATTTGCACTTTGTCTAGTAGTCCATCGGTCAGATCCAACCTACACTAATCTAACTGCATCATACTCTGCCTTTCCTACCTTCTTTTATTAGTTGTTTATAGGAATATTGAGCAGTATAACAGAATCTCTAATAGATTTCCCCTAGATAATAAAGAACGTATTCAACAGGTTTTAAAGTAGAGTGTTGCTTGGTTTTCTTGTGAAAAGATAACGCAAGAGAGGAAATTGGGCAACGTTCAACAAAGTTCGGTTGACTCTGGTCAACGTCATCTAAAATGTGAGCAAGAGGGGAAGAATAAAAGATTTGGATCAAAATCACTGCCCTTCATTCTGCCCGGAGACCTAGCCACTTGCCAGTGAAGAGAAAGACAGTGCGCCTTCAATTGTGAACTTATGTAACAAGGACATCCATTGAGCACGAATAGTTGCCTATCGGCGCGGCGTTTTCACCTATCTTGGACGCATCGCGCGTCACATCGTTATTATGGCACTTGCTTTCGCACCGCAGACGAATGTTATTTGATCAGTTCATATGTTGCCGAATTTCTCGTGATAGATTCTGAATTTTTTTGCAACACTTGAAAATAATTTTCTGTGACATTTTCACAGAATGTTATACGCAACATTGAATGCATTATTAGTTTTTACATTAATTTTGAATGCATAATTATTATCAGTTTGTTGCGGTCACGAATATTTTGCTTACCGCACCACAGCAACGTGTGGATAGTTTATGACCCCCAAAACTCTTGTCGAATTCGATCAAAAAAACCATAGTATTTAACTCTATGGCGCCCCTGTGCAAATCAATAGTCATAACTAGCTATTCTCATCAGTTGGCAACACTGTGTTTCCTCCATTTAAATGTATGTGAAATAATCGTTCCTTGGTGAGGCAGCCTGCCTCACTTAGAATCGATACTTTTATTGGATTTAAATGGAAGAAAACGGTGTTACTAACTTGTAAACTCACCACTTCGCTGGATGGTGTTTTTAAGCGTTCAAACTAAGTTGCTGATAAAATCAAAGCATTAAAATTATTAATGCTTCGTAGTTCATCAGGTCTTCCGTGTTGTCATTTAGTTTCATAATGTCTCCAGTGAGATCGGCGCCATGGATGATTCTACTAGTTACAGTTGCCTCCTCATCGCAGAGATTTCCAAATATTTCGATTATAGGAAGTAAGTGCGATTCTTATTGCCACACGTTGTTTTAATATCTAATTCGTAAGAATTTCTATTGCCAGAATAATATTCTTCCCTCATGTTTGTTGGTCTATTCAGACGCGGCGTGTATTTTCAACTTAATTTAGAACTAATAAGTCTACGCAAATGATGCATCGATAATGAGGAAAAACATTTAAAAATCCTGTATCTCCTTAATTTACTCGCACGTCGGTAAGTTTATATAGTCCAGAGATGAATTCAGCCTATGAGATTGTTGATTTCTTATAATTCCGTCAATATTTCAAGAAAAACAATTCTCAAATTTCATCGCGTATTTCTTCCATAACTGCGCAGTCGTTGAAAAAATGAATTTTTCCTCTCTAACCATTCATTCATTCATCTTTGGATCTATCAGAAATCATTCCCCACCTAAACGGGCGTAAACCATAGTTTTCATTTTACTCTTTTCTTTTCGCCCCTTTTGAAAAGTTCTTTGCGCAGGGACAGGCCAAAAACGCGGCACATATTTTCAACAAATGTCTTCGACCTCCTCCCTTGTCTCTTTTTTCTTCTTATGTCATTCCAAATTATCATTTTAATGCATTTTCGGTGGATTAGTCGATTGAATATCATAAGAAATGAGAACAATAGTGTCTAGGTTGATGAACTTTTTTGCAAAACCATGCAACTGGAGTGCCACTCTGGGAGTACCTTTCCGAGTTGAAACAGCATCAACAGAAGTCCACAAGTACTGGTGAGAGGTCAAGGTTTCATGAAGGGTTGCAGGGTTTTTGGGTAACCATTTTATGTGTTGACTCGGTTTTCTTCTCAGCCGCTTCAGGTCTCGTTCGTTGAATGCGTCGTAAGCGAAATATTTGTGCAAGCAGCCTGTATTTTGGACAGTAAGCGTTAGTTTTTAAGCCAAAATTTTGTGCAAGCGTACTGCGGAGAGCTATGATTCTAGGGTAACAAACTGAAAAACAATAAGCACTCGCTCTTTTTATTAGTTGCAAAGCAGCTAAAAGAAAAAACTAATGAAAATCACAAAGCAAAAGAGAAATAAGAGATTGATTGATGTAAATGCATTAATGAAGGTGTGTTTTGTGAGAGTCAAAGATATGACCAATAACACTTCTCTGCTTATGAAAAAACCGGCTCATTCAACTCCGGCCCAGAGCTGCGGAGTTCCAAAACTCGCAATTTATATTGTTATTCATCGGGCCAACTTACGCACAACTTTTATCTCAAAATGGCTGCAAGTTGTTCTTTTTCCACCCTATTTCATTACTTATTGTAAAGAGCTCGTGTTCGCTGTAAAGTTGATTGAAAGCTTTCATCGTTAGCAGCAGATAGGAAAGTAGATCCCGCGTCACACAAGAAAGTTGCATATGATACTGTAAGGAAATGTAATTTAGTATCAGTTACCTTTACGGTTTTGACTGTTTTCTTCTTGGAGCATTTTTAGCACGGCTGAATTGGCCAAATTCGTTGGTTTCGGAAGGGTGTGGAAATCGATACTGAAAGAAAAAAAAACAGTGATAAAATTAAAGTTTGAACCAAGAAAAAGGTGGTTTGAAGTTGCATTTTTCCGTGAAAAACAATGTTAAGGACCAAGCGTAACGGCTATTTCCACGTTTACAACATATTTCCTTAATTTTGAATCCATTTTTTGGGCATTTTTTGGTAAAAAGACGCATGAGACTTCTAATGCCGATAAGATTGTGCAACGTAGCTCTCAAGTTGTTAGTAACCCAAACGACAGTCCTGCCATGAATCTGTCCCTGAATCTGCCCTAAGTTTTCCTCGCCATTGTAAGGAAAGTAAGTCGACTGTGAATAAGCGTCATGTGCCGCAAATGCTATCACTGGAAACAAAATTCTTGTCGTTTTTACCGAGAATTCCCGGTCGTATTTGATCCTGGTTTCCCGGTAAGATTACCAATGTGTTTTGGTAACATCACCACTAATAGAGAATTTGCAGGTGTCTGAAATTTGATGGATTTCGTGTTTAGGTGGAAACTACCGTGTGAACTGAACACGAGGTTGCCCTTGGTTCATAAATTGAACAATTATTGGAGGAGATATGACAAAATGATCTAATCTGCTTAAATACGTGTGTTTATATGGGAAATGCCGCTAGATGACGTCACTAGGCAGTGCATTTTCTCACTTTTAAATCAGTTTTTATAATATTTCCCATTCCCACATCAGAAAAAATTATGAAAAATACTATGAAATCAGCTCTTTAGACACTTTCAGATGAAGCGATAAAAAATTTGCATGCAAATTTGCAAAAAATTTGCATTCCATTGGTAACAAAAGTGAAATAGTGAAGTTACCAACGGACCATGGTAAATACGCCGAGAATTTGTCTTCAGTGTAAAAAATTGCAAAATCTTAGCAGCATTGCAAGCGTCCCACGCCCTTTTATCGAAAAAGACCTAAATCCTTCCACAGCTTCAAGTACTCAAGTGTCCGTTCACATCTCGTCACCTTCCAGGCAAAGTATCACAAGCGCCATGCGACGTTTAAAAATTTCCGCCGCCATTTTATTTTTTTACTGAGAAATTGTTGGTTGAATCTGTTTGGAACTTTCACTATATTTTATCAGCAGCACCAAGAAAATTCAGTGAAATTTTCGGACAGCTTCGTTGAACAATTTCTCTGTAAAAAAATGAAATGGCGGCGGAAATTTTTAAACGTCGCATGGCGCTTGTGATACTATGCCTGGAAGGTGACGATCTCTTCATTTGTCGGAGAAAATAAATAAATTGCGAGAGGCAAGAGCGACTCACCCTCTTTGCAGTAACGCCATGGCGAATTATCGTACGGGGGTCCGCGGGCACTGTCACACACTCGAAGCTGCACACTGAGAAAGTGGCGGCTCTCGTTAAACCTTTGAGGTTACGCGCTCGTCACGTCACGTCACAGCCTCCGCGGTTACGGTCCCAATAATCGCGAGAGACCCGACTCCAATTAACCCGGAAAACAAAATCGACTCGTTTGGTTATCGCACGGCGGCAATTAATTGAAACGCGGGTCCCTTTCGGGAAGTGCGCCCGCAATTCCGAGTCCGCGGCGAGGGCGGGGGCGGTGAGTCACCCGCGAAAATAACTCCACTCTCATATCGACGGCTTTTAAAAATAAATGTACAATTCATTAATAGTTTAACTAGGAGGTAATTATTGCTCCCGCCTCTCGTTGCGGCACGATTAAGCCACCGTAATAATTATTGCCC